AGTAGGATTCAAGAAATTCTCCTGTGATAAGTTTTGAACCAGGAAGGTGTAGGAAAAAAGGTAATAGGTGGAAGTTGAGTGATAACTTAAACTGAGAATAAGAAGACATATGAAAACATAGTACTCCAGAAACTAATTAAAATATATATTTAAATGTACATTTGAATGGAAGAAGAATGAATGGGTGTATAATGCCAATTACAGAAATCATGAGTCATCAAATGACAATTTCAGTACCAGCTAGGAGATATTTCCTTATAAATTGTTTACCTGGAAGGTCCCAGAAGCTGCAAAACAACATAACCTAATTCCATTGCTCTTGGAGACCCACCAGAATCAGCTAGTAATACGTAATTACTGAATATACCAAACACCATGGTTGTAGGACATATAGAAACAAGCTGATACAGAACTGGAAGCTCACTCCTTTAAGACTGATATAGATAACTCTGAAAGGGATTATGCAAGATGGTGGAGCAGCTTAATTTATATTTTCACGCAGATATGTACTTTGTAAAGTATGCCTACTTCTACATCAGTGGCATGACCAGTATAGGGGCAACCAGCTGAATTCTGGCTAGATTTACTGCCCACTCCGAAGAAAGAAGTCATGCATAATATTGTAAACCTAGAAAAAATCACGTGGCCATAGAAGTTATAAGACATGGGGGAAATTATCATTGCTTCTAAATTTAAGAATAAAAGTGATTCTAAATCTCTATGTGTATAGGCATAAACTAAGTCTATTCTCAGGGAAAGCAAGAGAAGGCTCACTTTTCACTGAATAGTGGTGCGTTTAGTGTCTTATGGCTAGTAAAGGTACTGGAAATCAGTGATGATTGAGAGCTCAGACCTATCTAGTACATTCATATAAGACTTAAGACTCAGAATTGTTAAAAAGAGGCCTAAAGATTGTAAGAGCCATAGGCTAGGGAGAAGGCTGTAACTTGTTATTTACAGGGTTGACAAATCTAGTGCAATGATAAACACAGAATGTCTGTGGTTACTTGTACTAGGTCTGAACAAGACAGCCCATGTCTTGTCAGTCATGGTGTGGTAAGAGGTTCATATATCCACAAACTGTCTAGTCTAATGAGGTGTAAACTATTGATGAATGTGAAGGGGAAAAAGTCATTACCAGGATCTGGAGGGATGGCTCAGTGGTTATGTGCACTGTCTGTACTTCCAGAGGACCCAGGTTCAATTCCCAGCACCCACATGCCAGCTCACAACTGTCTGTGACTCCAAGATCTGACACCTCACATAGACATACATACAGGCAGAAAAAAAAACACCAATGCAAATAAAATAAAAATGAACTATTTTAAAAAAATATCATTAACTTCAGTTGTGTAACCAACAGAGAACCTACCATACGCCAGTGGCTATTTATATCCCTGTGTTCACTCAGATGACCCTGATTAAAATCAATGGGTCAAAGAAAGGAAGGAAGAGGAGGAGGAGAAAGAAGAAGAAGATGAAAAAGAAGCTCAGGAGGAAGATATGAATGTGGGAAAGTTTGGTTTAACATGGGTTAGAGAACAGACGAGAAAGAGTGCCAGTGAAAGTATTCATAATGGAGTTGGAGAGATGACTCAGCAATGAATAACTAGGCTCACAATCAAGATACAAGAGCAATGAGAAATATATATATATATATATATATATATATATATATATGTATATATATATACATATATATATATATATATAT